CCTCGGCCTCCCAAAGTGCTGGGATTACAGGCGTGAGCCACTGCACCCAGCAAATATTTTCCATTATTCTGTAGGTTGTCTGTTTACTGTGTTGATAGTTTCCTTTGCTGTAAAGAAGCTCTTTAGTTTAATTAGGTCCAATTTGTCAATTTTTGCTTTTGTTGCAATTGCTTTTGATATCATCATCATGAAATCTCTGCTAGTTTCTATGTCTAGAATGATAGTTCTTAGGTTATCTTCCCAAGTTTTTTTTTGTAATTCTAAAATAAACATTTCAGTTCATAATTAAGAGTTGATTTTTGTATATAGTGTAATAAAGTTTCAGTCTTCTACATAGAGCTAGCTCGTCATTCCACCACCATTTATTAAATAGGGAATTCCTGCCACATTTCTATTGTCACCTTTGTTGAAGATCAGATGGTTGTAGGTCTGTGCCATTACTTCTGGGCTCCCTATTCTGTTGCGCTAGTCTATGAGTTTGTGCTAGTTCCATGTTGCTTTGTTTACTGTGGCGCTGTAGTGTAATTTGAAGTCAGGTAGTGTAATGCCTTCAGCTTTGTTGTTTTTGCTTATGATTACCTTGGCTATTCAGTCTCTTTCATTTTGTATAAATTTTACAATAGTTTATTTTTTAGTTCTTTTAAAATATTTTGGTCATTTAATTAGAATAGCATTAAATCTAAATTTTTAGGGGCAGTATGATTGTTAGGATCTTGATCTTTTCTGTTTATGAGCATTAAGTTTTTTTTTCCTTTTGTGCCATTTCTGACTTCTTTAAGCATTGTTTTGTAATTCTTATCGAGATCTTTCACCTTCCTGGTTAACTGTCTTCCTAAATAGTTTGTCTTTTAGCAGCAATTCTGCATGGGATTGTGTTTATGATTCATATGTGGCTTAGATGTTGTTGATTTACAGGGATGCTACTAATTTTTGTACATTTATTTTGTATCCTGAAATTATTATTTTTTTTCCAAAGGCACATAAAATATATTTTAACTTTAAAAATAACTTAGTTACAGTAATACTTTGCCCTGTGTCTTACCAACATGTAGCTAACGGTCAGAATTTTGCAATATAGATACAATATGTAGGGATATATAAGAACGACAAGAAAATCTCCAAAACCCATAAAGTTCAGATGTGAAAACAGAAAAGTTTTAACACTGGAGAATTTGCTATGGTGAGCCCAAGCAATATATAGAAAAGAGTCTAGAAAAAAGGTTTAGGTGTTAAATAGATTTTGACTTCCTCTTGCTCAGAAAACGTTGTAGTGCTGTAAAGTTCAGTAAAGTTTCTTAATGTGACTCACCCAGCCCTGCATAGCTAGTGTCAATCCTGGCCAAGCCAGATTTCTTGTGTGTCTACAAACAATATGTGAGCCAAACATCACCAATACCTGCTGAAAATGGGCTCTGACTGACTCATTTCCTCTTTTTGCCAAGGCAGGTTTTGCTTTGTTGTTTTTTCCAAATTGTTTTTGCAAACAGGGCATAACAGGTTAAAAAAAAAAAAAAAAAGTACTTTGTAAGAATATTGTTTTAGAAAACCCATCACAAAACTGCAAATACAGCTCCAGAAGCCTTTCTCTTTAACTGCGGTTAGTTTGTTTTTGTGCGTTTTTCTCCAAAGGAAAAAGTTGGCATCGTGTTACTTATTTTTATCCATGACATTCAGCAGCTCATCCAAAAGTGAGGGCCCAGGATCCAGCTGCAGGGAGAGAAGAGAGCCTGTGAGGTCAGAGAGGGACTCCTCTGACTTAGTCTTTCCTTTGATAAGTTCGCGTGGGGTGGGGTTGTCAAACGTCCTCGGCTGTCCAGTCGGGGTACTCTTCCGACAGGCTGGAGGAGTGGCTGTCCCTGCCCTGGCTGGGCTGAGATGCAGAACCGCTGGAGCCCCATGAGGTGTCTCCCTGGAGGACTGTCTTGTTCAACAGACTGCTTTTCTCAGGAGCTTTTCCCTCCATGACGGGTTCGCAGCTAAGCCTGGGCAGCTTTGCTGGCCCACAGGACCCCTGTTTGGAATTAAATGTCACCGGTGACAATAAGGGCAACATGAGAGCTTGGGACCCTCCAATTGTCGGGAGAGAGATGGCATTTTTGAGCACTGCGAAGGGTGTTTCTTTAAACACAGAGTTAGAGGTGCTGTTGGCCCAGAAGAACTCGTTATGCCCAGGGAACTGGCCCAGGTGTGCTTCCTCCTGGTTTCCAGGTAAAAGTACATAGTTCTCTTGAAGAAAGGAAATATTTCTTTTTTTCTTTTTCTTTTTTTTTCCTACTACGTAAAGCACATCTGAGCAGAGAAAGGAAATATTTCTAAAGATGTCGTTCTGGCCCTCTTTGCTGATGTGGATGGTGTGGCGAAATCTCCAAGCCGGGGATACAGCTAGTACTCGACTTACGACCACTATTGGGCCCAGCAGACCGGTCGTAACACGATTTGGTCGTAAGCTGAGTAGGCTATATGTACAGTTGAAATGGTGCATGCGGAGATGGTAGTGCTGCCAGAAGCTGGTCCGCACTGTCGTACGCCCAGCTGAGCAACATTTGCGCTGCCAGACGCAGAGCAGTCGTGGCTAGCGATTGTGGTCGTAAAGTCGAATGGTCTTAAGTTGCATAGGTCGTAAGTCGATCAATACCTGTATCAGGAGATAGAATGTCCCTCAGTTTAATATTTTTTTCCTTTCTTGTTGCTGGCTGCTTTCATGTACATTGGGGTCTTTGCTGGCATTTCGGAATTTGAGAATGTCTATTTTGCAAGCGGGAATGAGAGCCACTTCCTTCACAGATGGTATAAGTTTCTGAAGAATCTTTTTTGATAAAAACTGTCACATCAGTTTTCACAAGCGGCTTCAGAAGTGGCTCTAGCTGTACGAGGTTCCGGTGTGGTGAGCAGTGACCCACAGGGAAGCGAGGCCACCTGACCGTGCTGCCCCAGCCAGGCCGGAGCTCCCCAGCTCCTTCACAGACCGGGCTCTGGTGAGCATGAGGGGCTGTATCCTGAAATTATACTGGAGTTGTTTGTAGGTTTAAAGAGCTTTTCTGTCAAGGCTACGTATATAGTTTTCCTGATGTAGAATCATGTTGTCTACAAAGAGGGATAGTTTGAATTCTTCTCTTCCTGTTTAAATATCTTTATTTTATTTTTTATTTTAATTTAATTTATTTATTTATTTGAGATGGAGTCTCACTCTGTTGCCCAGGCTAGAGTGCAATGGTGCGATCTCAGCTCACTGCAACCTCCGCCTCCTGGGTTCAAGCGATTCTCCTGCCTCAGCCTCCTGAGTAGCTAGGATTACAGGCACGCGCCACCACACCCAGCTAAATTTTGTATTTTTAGTAGAGACGGGGTTTCACCATGTTGGCCAGGCTGGTCTTGAACTCCTGCTCTCGTGACCCACCCGCCTTGGCCTCCCAAAGTGCTGGGATTACAGGCGTGAGCCACCACACCCGGCCAAATGCCTTTTATTTTTATCTTTTGCCTGATTTCTTTGATCAGGACTACCGATTTTATGTTGAATAGTAATGCTGAGAGAAGGTATCTTTGCCTTGTGCCAGTTTTCAAGGAGGAATGCTTGAAGCTTCTTTTTCTTTTTTCTTTTTCTTTTTGAGATAGAGTCTCCCTTTCTCTCTCAGGCTGGAGTGCAGTGGCACAATCTTGGCCTACTGCACCCTCCACCTTCTGTGTTCAAGAAATTCTCTTTTCTCAGCCTCTTGAGTAGCTGGGATTACAGGCATCCGCCACAACACCTGGCTAATTTTTGTGTTTTTATTAGAGACAGGATTTTGCCGTGTCAGCCAGGTTGATCTTGAACTCTTGACCTCAGGTGATTTACCTGCCTTTGCCTTCCAAATTGCTGGAATTACAGGTGTGAGCCACTTGCACCCATTTGCTTCCAGGTTTTGTCCATTCAGTATGTTGGCTGAAGGTTAGTCATAGATAACTTATTTTAAAATATGTACCTTCAGTGCCTAGGTTGTTGAAGGTTTTTAACATGAAAGATGTTCAATTTTATCAAAACCTTTTTCTGCATCTATTGAGGTTATCTTGTGGTTTCTGTCTTTGGTTCTGTGTATGTGATGAATCACATTTATTGATTTGTGTATGTTGAACCAATCTTGCATTCCCAAAATAAATTCTACTTGATCATTGTGGGTTAGCTTTTTGATATGCTGCTGGCTTTGGTTTGTCAGTATTTTGTTGAAAAGTTTTTCATGAGTGTTCAGAGATTTTGGCCTGAATTTTTTTTTTTTTTTTTTTTTTTTTTTTTTTTTTTTTTTTTTTTTTTTTTTTTTTTTTTTTTTTTTTTTTTTTTTGAGACGGAGTTTCGCTCTTGTTACCCAGGCTGGAGTGCAATGGCGCGATCTCGGCTCACCGCAACCTCCGCCTCCTGGGTTCAGGCAATTCTCCTGCCTCAGCCTCCTGAGTAGCTGGGATTACAGGCACGCACCACCATGCCCAGCTAATTTTTTGTATTTTTAGTAGAGACGGGCTTTCACCATGTTGACCAGGATGGTCTCGACCTCTTGACCTCGTGATCCACCCGCCTCGGCCTCCCAAAGTGCTGGGATTACAGGCTTGAGCCACCGCGCCCGGCCCTGAATTTTTTTTTTTAATGTTTGCCAAATTTTGGTATCAGAATAGTGCTGTTCTGATATAATGAGTTAGAGAAAAGTTACTTTTTCTTAACTTCTTATAATATTTTCAGTAGAAATAATACCAGTACTTTTTTTGTACATCTGGTAGAATTCAGCTGTGAATCTCTGCTCCTTGGCTTTATTTGGTTGGCAGGCTGTTTATTACTAATTCAATTTTTGAGCTTCTTCTTCATCTGTATAAGGCTTTGATTTCATTTTTGTTCATTCTTAGAAGGATATATTTGTTCAATAATTTTTTATTTTTTTCTAATTTTTTTTTGTTTTTGTGCAGAGGTGTTCATAGTAGACTTCAGTATATTTTGGGGACATCAGTGGTAATGTCTCTTTTGTTATTTCTAATTGTGTTTATTTGGATCATCCCTTTTTCCTTCATTAATCTAGCTAGTGGTTTATTTGTCTTATTATTGTTTTCATAGATTTAATTTTGGATTTCTTGATATTTTGTAAAATTTTTATGTCCAAATAGCAGTTCACATCTGATTTTGGTTATTTCTTGTCCACTGCTAGCTTAGCGGTTGATTAGCTCTTGCTTTTATTTATGATGTCAGGTTATTAAAGATCTTTTTAGTTTTTCGATTTGAGCATTAAATGCTACAAATTTCCCTTTAACACCAGCTTAGCTAGTGTTATTGCAGTGATTCTGATGTAATTTTTTTTGTTTTTTTTTGTGTTTTTTTTTTTTGGAGATTGAATTTTGCTCTTGTCGTTTAGGCTGAGTGCAGTAGCACAGTCTTGACTCACTGCAAGCTCCACCTCCTGAGTTCAAGCATTGGCCTACCTCAGTGTCTCAAGTAGTTGGTATTAGAGTCGTGTGCCACCACGCCCACCTAATTTTCATAATTTTAGTAGAGAAGGGGTTTCATCATGTTTGCCAGGCTGGTCTTAAACTCCTTACTTCATGTGATTTGCCTACCTCAGCCTCCCAAAATGCTAGGTTTACAGGTATGAGCTACTGTGCATGGCCCATTTTTTTGTTCTTATTTGTTTAAAAGAACTACTGGATTGCTGCCTTAATTTCATTATTTATTAAAGAGTTGTTTAATTTTTATGTAATTGTATGATTTCAAGTTGTTTTCTTTTTAATGAATTGTATTCTTGTCAAGCTGTGGTCTGTGTGTGTGGTTTATGAAATTTTGTGGTTTTCGAATTTTCTTTCTTCTTCTTCTTCTTCTTCTTTGTTTTTGTTTTTTTTTTTTTGAGATGGAGTCTCACTCTGTCACCCAGGCTGGAGTGCAGTGACGCAATCTCAGCTAACCGCAACCTCCACCTCCCAGATTTAAGTGATTCTCCTTCCTCAGCCTCCCGAGTAGCTGGAGTTACAGGCACGCACCACCACACCTGGCTAATTTTTGTATTTTTAGTAGAGATGGGGTTTCACCATGTTGGCCATGTTGGTCTCGAACTCCTGACCTCGTGATATGCCTGCCTCAGCCTCCCAAAGTGCTGGGATTACAGATGTGAGCCACTGCGCCCACCAAGATTTTTCAATTTTCTTAGGCTTGTTTTATTTCTAATTGTTTAGTCAGTTTTAGAGTATGTACCACGTGGTGATGAGAAGAAAGTATGTTATTTTTAGATGAGGAGTTCTATAGGTGTTTATTAGGAGTATTTGGCCAATTGTTGGGTTTAGGTCCTAATATTTTGTTAATTTCCTTCTTCAGTTATATGTTGGTGCCTGTGGGATGCTGTAGTCTCCCACTATTATTGTGTCAGAATCTAAATCTCTTCATAGGTCTCTGAGAACTTGCTTTATTCATGCAAACCCATGAATTTTCTATACAATTTTCTCTCCTCTACTTTTTCTCCAATAAACATTCTTTTATGTGCACGCAGTGTGCAAAATTGAGATTTCCAAGACTTCAAGAACATGTTAAGAGACCTGGCCATTGTAAAAGAAAAAATAAATTAGAAATAAGATGCTTAATTAGCCTACATAAAAATAAGAGAAATGCTATAACAGACTACCTGAGACTGGATTAAAAAAAAAAAAGAGAAAATGTCTTATTAAAATCTTTTTCTTAAAACATTTAGATTATGTATAGATTTTTATCTCCCTTTTTTTGAAATACATGTAAATCATATTAACAGCTAAATAAACCTTTTGTCAATTTTTTTTTGACTCAGGATTGTCTTTATCGGGGACCTGAGATTAATTGCTTTGCTTTTGCTTTGGCCAAAGATTATTTTTATGATGTTTAGTCCTTTAAATTTGACACAAATTTGTTCAGAGTAAAGGTCATTCCAAGAGCACAGAAAAGTTGAGCAGAAAAATAGGATTACATTTAGCAATATAGAATTATAAAGATTAAAAGATACGAGTAAGTTGAGAGAAACCTGATTATCCAAGGTGATGATTTGCAGGCTAAAGTACTTATAATACAAAAGCAAAAAGAATTCAGTTTATAGTCGGGCATGGTTGCTCACGTCTGTTATCCCAGCACTCCGGGAGACCGAGGTGGATGAGTCACTGGAGGTCGGGAGTTCGAGACCAGTCTGTCCAACATGGAGAAACCCTGTGTCTACTAAAAATACACAGTTAGCTGGGCGTGGTAGTGCATTATTGTAATTCCAGCTACTTGGGAAGCTGAGGCAGGAGAATTGCTTAAAACTGGGAGGAGGCGGTTGCTGTGAGCTGAGATCATGCCATGGCACTCCAGCCTGGGCAACAAGAGCAAAACAGCATCTCAAAAAAAAAAAAAAAAAAAAAGTTCAGTTTGTTAACTGAACAGTGGAATCTGTTGTCATACTTTGGTTTCTAATTATTACTTGAGTACAATTAGCATAGTTATGTATAGTATTTGTAGACAACCTGCATTCATATGCATTCAATAGTATTTTCGACAGTAGTATGAATATAAAGTCACAAAATTTACTTTGAATGAGTTTCTTAAATACTTAATATCATGATTCATATTTTTGAAATATGGTTTTTCAACTGAATTATAGTTACAGAAAATTTTTTAAAATTTTACATACATTATGAATAGTACATTAAAATTATTCATACTTGCATATTTATATCTAGTATCCAAAGAAAATTTACTACCAAATTGTTACACTAGGTATTAGTCTGATGTGCTTATTAATTTAACCAATAGAGATGATTATAGGTAAGCATAATTTTAGTGTTTTTTATTTCACAAATTAAAAT